TGGCCATTACTTCAGTTGATAGGAGAGGCTAGTTTCTGATTGGTTTATTTTCTGATTAATGAAAGCCCGAATCGAAAAACTGACCCCAAATTCGGATCTTTCAACCCTTATTACCTTTAGTCAATTTTGTTAAATTACGATTAGGACTATACAAATGTGTAAACATGACTGCAAACAGATCCACGCCGAGACAAACTTATATTATTTCGTATGACCGCTCCTTCGGTCGAGGGAATGAGGGACATAATCAAAAAATACCGAGCAACTTTTGCTCGTCTTCAGACTTTTTGCGGCCTAGTTGGTGCTAACAAACCTGATTTTCTCTTTCATTATCTATTGATTCTTGATCCGCATCTGGTAGTGATTCTGCACCACTCAACATGGTATGATTGATGTGCTCAGAATTTTCTGAAGGAAAAATTGTTCAAAGTCTATGTGAGAATATGATATGAGTCACAATACAAACCAAGTATTGGAGAAGGATCAGAGCTTGTATAGTTTGAATTGTCCAACGGGGATAGCAAAAATGAATTCAAAGAGACATCTAAATAATGAATTTCAGTTAGTTGGCAATAAAATACTGTAAAGATTACCGGCATCAGGCAACTCTGAGAACCATTTATCGAAATCTCGATCGATTGACGATGGATTCGCTTCAGTCAACGATTGTGGGTCACTTCTATGTAAGAACTGATCCGTGTTCTCGAAAACTGAAGTTTCCAATCTGTCAGTATCTGATACGGAAAAATTTAATCAGTTTGAAGTTAGTTATAATGCTGCTATTTACTTTTGCTCAGATTAAGCTTGTTGTATGGACTTTCGAAGTTATCTGCTGTACTTAATGCCAAGACTTTGATACCAATATTACAAGAAAGTAAGGCATCTAAGCCGATTGGATCTACAATTTTATAGTAAGGACAATGAAGTAGATAATGATAATGGACAAGTTCACTGAAGAAGTAGTCTCACCTTTATTGACTTCGTCCAACATACACGTTGTTGGAAAAAAATGGAACTTTTCGAAAATAAAAATGAAATTCTTCAATGTGTAATTTTCATCTCGAGTCGTGGCTCACGAAGAAAAATATAACTGTAAATGACTGACGACGAATACATTAACGTCGACTACGAAACTTTTTCCCACTCGATAAAGTGTACTCTCTCTGAGAAAAAAAGTCGTTTCGTTAGGCCTATGAATAGCAGATACACTTCTCACTATTGACATCTATTGGTGAAAATCAGGCAATGGAAATATTAAAAGCATTCTAACTTATTCTAAAATAGTATAAGATAAGAAGCAAAGTAACACTGATCTTGTTTGCGGAAAATGCTTTTTCTCTTAAATATCCATCACTGAGAAGACTGTTCCCGTAGTAACGAAGAGAACTAGAATGGAATAATGGACAACGCTAAAAGCTTCATTCATTTGTTACACCAATAATGTGTAAAAAATATAGAGGTCGATAATATCGAAAATTAATTTGCTTCAAACACACCTCTGAAACACTCGCGCCAAACTAGAGACAATATGTTCAGTATCAGAATAGAGTTCTCAATCGTTTGATATATTATATCCCGAAATAATTAATTGTTCGATAATAATAACCAAAATGCATCAGTCACTTTGAAATCTGTTCTAGAAGCCATGAGTCATATGTCCAAGGCATCGCACTAATGTGTCATATGTAAAGAAAATCTTTTTTCTCTTGTTCTAAGCGAATAATGATTGGCAAATAGAAACTCAATTTCATTCCTATGAGAGTGTAGATCATAGGTGTCTCAATCAGTCGACACACGAAGAAATTTTCAATTGTATTACATGAAAGAGAAAATCGTGCATTTATTCATTAACATGTTCCTTCGACTAAAAGTACTACCAGTACGATTCGATCAAGTTGCTTAAGGAAAAAAGAAATCAAGCATTTCCAATTTATTCAATGAGAGAAGACAGCATTTTTAGTCGAATTGAATGTCAGAGTAATGGTTCAGTTGATCGAACTAAATTTATTGTTGTCTGTTATGTGCATTGTTTTAGTCATCAAAATAAATTCTTTGTATTGGATTAGACATGTCGAAATCCTTGAACTTCGAGAAAATGCTTCAATTGGAATCTTTCACTTGAGAGATAACTGCGAGACGACTCGATATGCAGCAAACCAATACCGACACCCACACTTCACACCATATGCTTCTTTCTATAGAATGCCATGAGTGCAAAATGTATTCCTAGCATTTTCTAGAAGATTCTACAATGTTTTGGGAGCATCTGCCAGAACTAGACTTTAATCCTTTACTCTTGATCCTGTGGCAGACAGTTACTAAACACTATATATTTACATAAAGTTAGATGTCTTGCAATATACACTTATCTAAATTTGACTTCGTAGCTAGTCTGTTTTGTATGCATAAATAACGACGTAAAGTCAAAACTGAAGGTAACGTATACATGAATTCAAATCAGAGACGGTACAAGATTCATTGTGTTGACGAAGATGAGCATTGGTTTATCAACACAACATACTGACATCGGAAGAATCATAAAGAAAAAGACGAGGAGTTTCTTACATGAAAAGGATATGGTTGGATAAACTGCGAAAATTCCTATAGCCTCCGATTTTTTTTCTTTTTAGTAATTATTGTGGATCGTGAGAAAGAGGAAAGAACCGCCAAAATACAAAAGGAATTGATCATTAGCTGACAAGTCGGGAGCAACGAACTCCAAGGGTGTGCATTCCTTCTTGCCTTACATGAATACTCCACATAAAGCACTGAATAGGCCAAGCCATTGCAAGAAGTTTTGGAGAATGCAATAGAACCAGTGTGTAAAACATTTCACCAGTTGGATAGAGGATACAAAAATTCATCATTGATATTTCAATATGATGGTAAGTTGCACTATTTTATTATATTAGATAAATTAATATCTATTCAACAATTAGATTCGCAACAAGAAGTTAAAACGCGTACTTAACACGTCTGCTCAGATTTCCGTTCTGCATCAGTTGTTTCAGTGTCTTTAGGAATGTGTTTACTGACTATATCCAGATTGCGTTTGAATTCGGGACCACATGCATCGTTTTTAGCTAACTCAACTGCTTGCTGGAAATACTTCTCGGCTTGTTGAATATTTCGACATGTATATTCAAGCAGGCCATAGTTGTTTAATACAGTGGCGCGTTGAATATCCGAGCCGTTTTGTTGAAGGGCGTCTTCAAAACACTTTTTAGCAGATGGATATTTTCCAGCTTTCATATATGCTCGAGCCATATTATTGAAGAGATTTAGTTGAGAGGGAACAATATTGTCTGCAAAAAGAGGTTTTGGTTGAGCTAGTACTTCGTTGTTTTCTGATACTGTCGATTTAATCAAGTTTTTTGCTTGGATAAGATAATTTACCGCGTCAAAATATCTACCCTGATCCTCGGCCAATGCGGCCATATTAAAATAGAAATTAACACGAGTTTCATCTGAAAGAGTTTCATTCAAAAGCATACGTTGATAAAAGTTTGTTGCACTGGTATGATCCCCCAGCTCTTGCAAGATATTTCCAACAGTAATATATGTGCAGTGACATCTTGCTTGTTCAATATATGTGATCAGGTCAGGGTCATAGTCTGTACATGATTGAAGTACAATATACCAATCATTAGTACCAATTTTTTTCATTGATTCGATCTTCCAAACAAAACCCATGAAGAAAAGAACTTCTTCCTCGTCTTGACACGCACTACGACCGTTTATATTTGCATAGGGTCTGATTAAATTTGTCATTCTAGAATCAACGTTGAACTCAAATATCACGCTTTGATAAGCGTCTTGAGTTTCTCCCATACCAGCAAATACTGTAGAAGTAATGTAATTTTCAGTTGTCGAAAGAAGTCCATTTAAAGCGATTAAATGTCCGATGCTATCCTTGAATTGTTGTATGACATCGATTGAATATCGTTTACCTCGATAATATGTTTTGTCATTTTTACTTTCAATTTTTCGTTGTTCTTGACCAAGTTTTTCAATTTGGTTATGTAGATCGGCTATGTAACAACCAAAGCGAAACATACTATCAATGTCTTCAACTCGAAAAGCTTGATTAACGAGCCTAAAGAAACACGAGCTTTGAGTATAATAATTGATTGCTTTCTCTGGTTTGTATTCTTTAGCAAACGTTCTAATTTTCTTCGCCTCGATTTCATCCATTATGTATTCTTGATGGCAAAGATTCCACATTCGCTCAAAATCTTCCTCATTGTATTCGATGCGTATCATTATTTCAGTTAAGGCTTGAAACAGAAGGAATTTGAGTGATTCGTTGCTCAAATTACAAAATGTTGTCTGTGGAGAAACTGACTTGAAGGTATTGAATACGGGTATTGGCTCATCTGACATATTTTCTTTATCGTCGTTCGTATGTTCAGAACTCTCGGCTGGCTGTTGATTTTTTTGAAGGTCATTAATAATTTCATTGGCCATTTTCTCAATTATGAAACGCACTTCTTTATTATTTAAAGATTTCGATAAAGTATTTTTTCCAAGTTCTAACCGATATAGTCCCCGAAATTGGCCACGTCGTTTAACTAGACGATCTACTGCTTTTGCTTCTTGTGCATCATCACTACTTATGATAAATACTATGCGTTTAATAACGAGGTCACTAGTAAGATAAGTACTCAAATCTTTTATGCTATTGAAGATACATGAATAACTAAAGTTTTTGCGAAGATATATCTTCATTTGACGCAGAACATCAGATGGGACATTTTTGTGATAATACCAAATGGCCATTAAATTTCGAGTGGTAGACGAATGATTGGTTAGTACCATTGATGCTTCAAAATGAATTATCCGAATACCTGAAATTTTGTTTTAAGCAAGTCTTGAATATGCTTCAACTTAGCTGAAATAAAGTAATGGAACAATCTACTGGATGACTATATCTACAAAAAGATAGAACATATGAATGCAAACAAAAAACGAACAAAAATTTTAATTATTAGAGATAGCTATTAGTCCGAACAAACATTATCTTTTATAGATAAAAGTTCTTCAATTTTCGTTTGATAAAACTGCAATGATGCTGAATCTGTTGCAACATGAAGTGCTTGACGATAATAGCCAAGTGCTGCTTGATAATCTCCTTCACAACATTTGATTTCTGCTATTTTGTTGAATATTGTCATTTTGTCAATAGAAGAAGATTCTGGACACGATAGATCCGTAGTTGATACTTTTGTCTGTTTAACTGGCATGGATAGATTGGCAACGTCGAATTCGGATGCTTGATTAAATAATGTTAATGCTCTTTCATTATCGGACATTTCCGAATACATCAAACCCATGTTGTCGTAAATAAAAGCAAGACTTGGATGATCCGATGGAAGTACGAGTAAAAGATATTCGTAGTAATTCTTAGCTGCATCGCATCGTTTCAAAGCAGTCAAATAGTTGCCGAATGTCAACCATGTAAGATGACCACCAATCTCAATTCGAAGTTGATTTCTAATACGTTGCATTGCACCATCAGCAGGCTCCAATTGTGCACGCCAAACACCGCTGGGTTCTGCATCAGTTGAAACTATTCGAAAGAGAGTACCAAGACTAAAAGCCAACGTATCCGAATTTAATTGTGCCACCGAAATTTTATCAGACAATTTCAGCTCAAAGAGAACTACAGTAAGTTGATTATCGATTGCTCGACGACAAATATCTACTACAGATTGAAACGAACGTGAAGCTAAAACGAATGTTTGTATAGCGAGTAGGTTATTTGAATTATCTTGTAACATTTTTAAATCTGTCTCTGATACTATTTGAGCTCGATAGACGGTATCAGAAGATAGATTGATATCTTCTGCTAAGGATAAAATTCGTTGATTGATTTCTTTCAAAGTTGTTGCCGAATTTTGTAATGTAGAAGACTTGAAGTCTTTGAAAAGATAATTGATCTTTGTGTTTGCTTCAATTAAATGACTAAGAAGGTGACCATCATTCTGGGTATTACTATCATCAGTTCTGATCGATTGATTTGGTAACTCCGATAGTATGCCACTAAATAGTTGAAAGCACAAAAAGTCTACTTGACGTTCGTTAAGTTTATCGAGAATATTTGACTCAAGTTTAAAAATGTTCATATTTGGCAAACGAAATCGAATTTGACGATAGAAACAAATGTCTGTGATGAGTTGATCTAGTAGGTCTTCATTGAGAACAAATATACCACTCAATTTCGAATAAGTTGACATTGCCTCGATTATTTCATTCGATTCGAGATCGGTCACAATATAAACTGCATGGATAGGATCGAGTTCAACTAAAGATCGAATATCCTGGAACTCATTCATTGAAATAATCAGATAAATGTGAATTGAACTGTTATTTTGAACTGCTTGAATACATTGTTCAACATCATAAAACTCGTATATTTTAATATTACTATGCAACAGCTGAAATGGTCGACGTGAACCGAGAAATAATATGAAAATACATATTGTGTTTAAATCATCTTTGAACGTAAGTTCTATAGAAACTAATGGGTCAGTTTGATTTGTTTGAGAACATAATGCGGCCAATAATGTTTTAGATCTTGACCAGCGTGATGGACGTTTCATAATAGAATCAATGTCTTCTATAATTTGCTTTGTTAATAGATCAATGGAAGATCCATTACCACGAATTTTTGAATATTCTTGAATCCAATCAGTCGATTCTTCATCAGTAGAATCTTGATATATGTAAATATTTTCAACACATCTGTGATTATGTATTAACGGTACAACGAAATCACCCAGTGTGATTGGTGCAACAACATAAATTAATTTATCTTTAACTGATAATATTTTCGCAATACAGACACATTCATCAGTGAACGTTTCAATTTTAACATTTGTATATTTATCCAATCCATTCGATGGCAACGTTACATTGAGAGAGGCGATGAGAACGTTGATATTTCGTTGGAAAGTCTTGTTTGGCAGAAATGTACCTAGAAAAAAAGCAAAAATAGATGTGGTTGTATGTCACTGTTATCCTTCTCGATAAAAAAGATTCAACCATGAAGTATGCAGGAAAATGGACGCTTTCAAATTTGTCATTCTACGAAGCTATTTTTTTCTGTCGAATATTAAACTTTTAGGTAATAACAATTTATAAGATTTCTTTATTAATAGCTTAAGAAAAGACAATACTATTGACCTACCTGTTTCGACAAAGTTTCCATCGATACATTGAAGGCTGAGACCATGGAGATCGTTGCAACAAATGGATGAAGACTCCACAACGATTCGTTTACTTGGAGTTTGATACTAAGCAACAACAATCATCGAGACATCGGTAGATATTTTAATCATAACGTTGATTTTACTTTAACGAGTTTCACGTGTTCTGTTAAACGCGTTACTGGATCTGGACTTTGCTCGGCCGACGTGTCTAATAAAAATCAATAGTCAGTCAAATGAATTGTGACGTCTTTGATGTATTTACTAGATGACTTATCTGGTCTTTTTGAAAGAATCGGTGTATCAGAAGGGATCAAATCTGAAGTTTCAGATGCCGACCTATAGAGAAATAACATTTTATTGAATGGTTGCAAATTTTTGAAGAACTTCTAAAGCTGAAGTGTCTGGTAGTTTCTGTTTGGTCATGGGGACTAGGGCATTGCTTTCTATAGGCTTGGGCTTGAAGTACAACAGTAAAATAAAAAAATAGTTTTTAATAATGGGTAAGGGAAATTCTCTTTGTCACTTGGGTAGACTTTCATGTTCAACATTGAACTATTTTGTATGAGCATGGGTCAGAGGAGATAATCAGGAATTGGATTTGCTGTAAAAACGTCTTTGCGAAAAGTGGGAGTAGTACTTCTATTGGGTAAACTATTATACTTAGGAATTCAGATACAGTTGGGAGTGAATTGGAGATCTTAGTCAGAGGGATGAAGAATCAGGCTGTTGGTACATGCTTTGGGGGTGTTCTGAGGTCTATGGGAGTTTTCGAAGAAAAAGCTGAGAAATAGGACGAATATTAGACTTAAGTCAGTTGGGAAATTCTCAAAATCATCTAAGCCTTAAATCTTGAGTGGAATTCTGTGCTATGGAACACTCGTGGCGTCTTGATTGATAATTTTCATTGAAGGTACGCATTGACTCAGCCAGATAATTGGATATGAATCAGAATACGATCTGATTATTGTGATCATGAACGTGTGCATCAGGGTTATTTTAGAACATTGACGAATATTTGATTGCACAACAAAAGTAGATGATTGTGATTTCCAATATGGGCCGTGGATTTAGTTTAATTGTTGTATGATTAACGAAGTGGTAAATGAGCAAAACTACATGATAATATCCAGAGCAGGGATCGTTATGGAGGCAGCTCAGGCAGCGTACAGTTGGGCAATAGTCTTCATCAAGAGAAGAAAAAAAAATGAGATCGAAAAACAATTATTGAGTAGGAACTTTGGGAAAAGGCTGAGTATGAGGATTGGGCATCAAAAACATTTGAAAAACATATCTCAGGTTGAGGTCAAGTCTTAGGCTGGGGTTGGGCGAAAAGCAAAACAAAAAAGGGATGTTGTCTAAGGCTTGGTTCACTTAGAGTAAGGAGCCATAACGATCCCCGATTCAGAATATTGAAATTGTTGCTTTGCTATTTAGGTCAGCACAACATTCGTGCGAACCAGTCAACTGGTCAGTTCTGCGATAATCATGATAGATCACCACCAAACGATCAGACAGATTTCGATTCGAAAACCATTTGCCGGAAAAATCTTCATCAGTGCGAATATATAAACAGAATATCTATAAAATATAAATTGATAACCATTAAAACACAGAAGTAGCTAATATAGTTTCAGAACCTTTGTGTAAAAAAAACTAAACCAGTTCTTTCAGAATCTAGGGAGTGGGTGTGTGGCTATGGAGTATTGTTGTGGTTGTGGCTGTTATTTTAAGATGAGCGAATAATCACCAACACAAATACACATACACCCCACACTCACACTCTATCTTTCAATAAGATTCAAGAAAGTGAATCTTTTGCCATTTCTCATCTATATTTGCAAAAAAAAAGAGTTGAAATTTTCAATTTAGAAGTTTTCAGCATGTGAACTTCCACTTAAGTCGCCTGAAGTAAACATTTGCGTTCAAATGGCCAATGTCTATAGTGAGTACTGTATGGTAATTTTGGTATCTTAAATCTTGTACATAAAAGTATTGTGTTTTAAAACTCAATTCAATGAGGCTACTCTCATAGAGATCGATCACACTAATTCGACCAATTTGCGCTTTTCATGTGGCCAGATTGTTCAGAAATAGCACATTAAAAATTATGTGATAAGACATTTTCATAACCGTGAAAAGACAGCTCATGGGCAACACTATCTGTGGTAAAACATGTCTCTGTTATAGCTCGAGTCGTCTTTTAGGGAAATGCACATTTACTGAAAAATATTGTACTAGAAGGTAGTCTAAATGCAGCAGAGCAGCTAGACTTGTAACATCTATATCGTCAGAAAGGTTCATCTATTTTAGCTGAAATATTCAATTTATTCCTACATCAGATGTATCTATCTACTCTAAAAATGTCAGCCTCTAATTCTCTAAAATCGCGCAGGTACAACTTTGTATAGTCAAGATCGTATTATATCTTACTATGGCTAAAATAAGCAACTAATTGTTTTTTGACACAACTTGTGCATATTTATGAAAAACATGCACTACCTACTGACTTTGACTAAACATGATGATTTCATGACAAACCTAGGTATGATATATCGTATAGTATAGATGGCTGGATCATAGTAGTAAAAATACACACGTTTCTTTAAAACTACTGTAGTTGTATTTGCACATGCTTTGCAAAGAAAATGTTCGTACATCTTAACTTAGTGTTGTTTAGAGGAAAATTTCGATAGTATCTGAAAGATTAGTTGTCAAGTCGCGATCATGCCTATCAGGCTAAAAAGAAAGACGGAAAAATGTTGATGAAGACTTTTATTGATCAGACAAACGCACAGCAACACCATTTCTTTCTCTTACCTCCATAATGTCAATGGTTGACGCAGCTATGTTGTGAAAAAAAAACATGTGATTACGATACGATACTGCAGGCAACTCACATTCGAGAGAGAAAAAAAAGAAATGAAGTATTTGTCGTGTATGTTTGCCTTTCGCTCACTTTGCCTCTTGTTCTTTACTACCTATATTGCATACTGTTATTCTCTTTTTTTTCTTATCGAATCTATTTACGTTTGTTGCTTCAAGGTCGCACAAAAAAAGAGTCAATGTGGTGCAGTAATGCACCATCTCATGTAAATCCACTATTTATTTTTATTGGGGTCCCCATTGCGGTCTAACTATCATGACGAAATCATTCTAAGAGTACTAAACACTTAATTGATCAGTTGATTGATGATGGTGATACAATCGAAAAATTGAATTCAAGTTTTATTTACGGTTAAATACAGTATATTCTGATGTGAAATAAAATTGAAATGAAAAATTATTGAAAAATAATACATTCTTCTTGTAAAACTTAGTAATATATGTCACATGATGGATGCGGATCTTCTCTTCATTCTCTTCTACATCAACTACTAACTATTATACTATCAGCTGAGTAATAATAGGTATAGAAAACAAAAGACCGCTATGTTTTTTATTCACATTATTTTAAAGTAAACGCTTCAGCAAAAAACAACCAGAACTTACGTATGGAAAAACGAATCATCAATGCTAGCAGACTTGAAATTTTTGCACAAAAGGGCAATAAAGAATTTGAGTGTATATGTGAAAACAAAGTTTACACTTACATCCATATTGTGTTGATTTGAAATCTTTATTTGTACTATTTGTTTTATTAAAGATTTTTCTTGATTTTCCGGAACAATTAAATCTGTTGTAAATGATTCTTTCAATTTGAAATAAACTGTGAAGTTATAGTTCGATTTCATATGTTATTTATTGTTTATGTTTTTTAAATTGTACAAACTAGAAAACAAGAATAACGAATCGTTATTTTTAATGATGAAAAGTCAAATAAAATATTTTGTCTATTTAATTCAATTCAATTTTATTATTGTTTTCTTATCAAGAATATCTAAGTCACGTTTGTACGTGCTACATTTTAAATCTTAGAAATATTGTTCTTCATTGGTGTGTTGTAATTATTCAATAAATGATTCTTCAGTTGAGATTATCAATTAGTCGTCATAGTTTTGTATTATGTTCAATTAATATTGAACATATAAATCCATATTCTTGATAAAGCAAATTTTGAAAGTTATGTATTTCATTTTTTGAATTCATGATTGAAAAGATTCACAATCAATATGTTATTGGCTATATTTTCTGTTAAGATCATTCTAGAAGAAGAAATACTTATATATAAATCATAGTGTGATACAAATGCTTCATGCTCTTTTTCTATATAAATTTGTTTATTCTAGATGAATAAAAATGGACAATTATTTTATGCAAACTACATATTTCACTGATAAAGACATTTTATTTAAATATGGAACTTAGAAGGATGATGTTTTCTCAAAATGGAACGTTTTGTCAGAACAGTGTATCGAATTTATGTTTCTGGTTTGATTGGAACCTCCATGAACAAATTTAATAAACATTTTTCAATAGTAAATATGAATGAGACTTTAAAACCTTTTACAAGCTGTTTCGTAGATTTGGGCAAAATACTTGAAGTAGTCATACTCAAGAGGACTAGTATTTGTACACGTAACGTGTGGGTTTAGATGTCATAATAGAAGTCTTCATCTCAATCACATCTTCACACATCACGCACAAAATCTACATGCATACTGGGTTTCTGCTTCATATATCCAGTGATGCATGATAAGAAGAGGTTAGATCAATTACATTTGAAAAAGCAGTAGTAATGTGAAATGGAAAAAATCTCTCATTAATTTCAATACATACCAAGTTTAGAAAACAACACAGTAGAAATATTCATTTGAATGAATTGATGGCTACTGAGAAAAAAAGCATGTGATGTTATTCCCAACTAGATAGATTTTTATTACAATTTTATTTTATTGCATTTTAATTCTTACTGCTCTCGTCCGTAACTGAAAAGAAATGAATTATATCGAATACTTTGTCAGAAAACAATTGAAGAATCTATGTTTTATGTGATTGTTTCAACCAATACGAATGTTCTCAAAATTTTGCCAATAAGTCACTTTGATTCTGACCGCCTAATTCACACTTGCTTGAGTAAATTTTGTTTTTCCTTATTATGCGATTACCATTCCATTAGATGCATATTTTTTGAGAGCGTAATGATAGTTGTTTGTGATATTTATATTTATCTATTGATTAGAACGAGAGTCAAGAATGGAAAATGTAACACTAATGATATCATCGGCCCGATCCATCCTCAAGATTGGCAACGAGTGTTTTCGACGGATACGAAAGAGGGACGATACCATGAATACCAATGAAAAATGTTTTAACAAAAACGCTGACGCTGTTTGTCAGTCAAATCAAAAAATCGGAAATTTACTCAGTCGTTTGTCATTCACGACACAATTTTCAACAATAACATAGGTACGATTCACTAATATTGATTGAATTGAAGTGATGACAGCAATGAAAAGATAGATATGTGTATTATATCAAAACAGAAAAAAGCTACTTATACACCACCATAATTCTTCTTGTAAATACCAATCAAGGATTACTTCTTTTATTGCCGCATTAATGTCAGCACTTTCTTGATCAATATTCTGTTTTCATCATATCAATGGAAAGTAAATAGATATTTGTAAAACAAAGAATACTGTCTAAGTTCGTTTATCTTGTCGATTATTGGCAAATAGAAACCACTTAATGGTAGAATAGGTACAGTTTGGACCAAAGTGAAATATTTAATAATCAAGTCTTTCTTAAACTTTCATTGGATGTATAAATGCACAGATGACAATATTTTCTGGTAATCCACTTTTACATTTCACGCTATTAACAATAGTACAATATTTCCTTTTTGCCTCTCTATTTTGTTTTATTAAATGAATATATTGCATGAGTGTTTGCCTAGACAAATAAAGTACTGTTCACAACCAGTTCAATGTCAGTAAATCGGAATATATTGCGCTTTATTCTTACTATAATTGTATGTTCGACAACATAAGTCGCAATTTATCTTAGATGAAAAGAGTGAGAGATATTCCAGTAGAAACACTTCTGTTATGAAGATTTTTCCGATGCTAACTAATACTTCCATCTAAGCCACTAATACCACAAATTTCTTGTTGAAAAAATCCAAATGTATTTGTGTGAATTTTATCAACACCGTGATTCGATAATTGGCGTCCACTAGTAAATATCGTATCGATCATACTAACTGAATACGATTGACGATGGGTAATTGATGATGTTACAAATGAAATTCCTGTATCATTGTAAACACGATCAATTAGATCAGCTGCTTCCATTTTTAGTTTTCTATCATCCAATAAACAAGCTTGAAGTGTTTTGCTATGGACGAGCTCGGATAATTTTAATTCATAATTGCATCGTTCTCAATCACTTGTATTATTAAGTTTTAATTAATGAGCACTTTGAACAATTAATATTCAACTTACAGCTTTAGCATTAAGTTCGTTTGGTCGAAACTCGGTCATAAAAAAGAAACGATACCAATTTTAGCACATAACGAATGTCCTCATTCTTACGAATATAACATGAAATTCATAATGCTATCATTCTTTGGTTTCTAGTCCTCAACAAATATTTGAGAGTATGACCAAACTCATGGCTCGCTAGTACCATCGACATATATGTACAAGCGATAGATGTGGATGATGGTGTAGGTCGATTTTTCACTGACCTTCACATGCGAATTTCGTTTTGCAAAAATACCAGGATCAATCTTTTGTCAATTTTCGAGCATTTTTCTTGTTTCTTTTCTCAAATTTTCATTCTTTCTAATGAGAAACGAACAATTGAACTATATTTTTCTATTCAGCTTTGCAACTTCCAGACAGTGTTTGTATTAAATGACAAATTTTTCTTGTAATTTTGTATGACTTTGAATTATTCTCGTTAGTGTCCAGCATTCATCTGCCTGAAACAAGCTTCAAAAATTGACTACACTGTGCACAATGAGAAAATTTTAAATTGTTTTGAAGGACATCATGTATAAAGTGCTAAACATAGGATAGCACTATCTTCGTGCATAGCTATGATAGGAAACAATAAGAAAACTTGAAGAAATTGGGACAAGAACTGTTAGCTACATAGGTGCATGCCAATAGTGAAAAATGGTCAAGAAGGTATCAATATCTTCAATTAGATGGTGATGATTGTTGAATAATACTATCGTGTGGTGGCAAGAAACTATTATTCAGTGTAACATCACCAAAGATACTGTCTCTACGTTGTACTCGATTCCCATCGGCATCAGTCGTTTCAAAAGCTGTACCAGCGTTGTGGTAAATGATCTGAATTGTCGTTGGACCTGTATTAGTTTCCGAACGTACTTCATGAAATTCATTAAGTGCTACCGCAACTGGTCGATTGGGACTACAATTCTAGATAGAAAAAGAAAACGAAAAAGAAATCATACTATAATAGTGTTTGTAATAATTAGACTTCTGTTTACCGTTGGCCTACTTCGATGAGTGTTTACAGCTTCAACTGATAATGGTATGGATTCCATAATACAACCATAAGCTGTCGGTGTCAATTTAATCACTGTATGCAATGGTACTCTGATATAGGGTAGACGTTCTATATTGCAACATATGAATCACACTTTGTATAATGGTGTTCAATGGAATAGAATATTTTCTACATACCAGGCTTTTTATCGAGAAAATAGGCAAGAATACAACGAGCTACAGCTTGATGAGAGATAACAAGTACATTCTCTGCTCTTTCCAATTCCATGATCA